ATATTCATTGGATATATATCGAAAGTGGATTGTGTAAGCTGTCATTGTAAATATTTTTGGTTAAGTAAATCTTTCAAATTCCTATTCTCCTCCATCTGGTGTTTCAAAACTCTATGTCAAATGTAATTTTACAAAATTGCAAAAAAGCATGTGTAAGTATTTTATTTCTTTCGGCCGAGTAAACAGTACCTATATTCATAATGTAATCATGGATTTGTGTTATTGTCAGTCGATGCCAGTAGTTTCCGTGTGGTTTTTGGCCATCATCCATTAGAACTGTATATGAACGTGGATGTCCTTAAATTTACCCATTCTGGGTCACGGTCTGCCATTATGAAGACGTATGTAGTAACCTGATTTGAGAAGACATAATTCCCCGTGTTTTTTTATTGGTCTGTCTTTCTTTTAAGGCTTTAGGTTCATACTTTTGTTTGACTGGCAGCATTGTTCTTGAGCTTGACTTCGGGTAAAGATGAATTATCCTCACCAGGTTTCGTGCACAAGACAGACATTTGTTGTCATATTTTAAAATCTTAACCTGCTCAAGTCTAGAGTTAACCATTATTTTCTCCTCCTATCTATATAAACAACCCCTTAATGTAATCCTCTATCTCGAGTGGCCCACGGGCCTTGTACAGGGTGAACCCTACTGTACAAAATGTATAAAATAAGTGTATATTCATTGGATTTATATCGAAAGTGGATTGTATAAGCTGTCATTGTAAATATTTTTGGATAAGTAAATTTTTCAGACTTCTATTCTCTTTCATCTGGTGTTTCAGAACTCTTTGTCAAAAGTATTTTACATGAGTAATTAAAATTGCAAAAAAAGCATGTGTAAGTATTTTATTTCTTGCGTGCGAGTAAACAGTACCTACATTTATAATTTAATCTAAAAAAATCATTTTTTATAAATATATCGCGGAATTTCCACCATTACAACTAGTAAACATAATTACAGATAAACATTAAATCATGTCGTATCAATGATAACGTTTGAACAAGAGTTTTGAGCTTAGTGCACCCGGAATGACATTGTTTGCGTTATTGAACTCATTGTGACTTCCAGCAAGATAGCGCCTGCAACTCCGCACCCAGTCGAAGTGTCTACCCTTACCCAGTCCAAAAAAAAAAAAAAAAAAAAAAGAAAGAAAAGAGAAACAAGAGCCATATTTAAATATACAAGAGAAATATCTAGCGTCTTATTGACATTGTGCGTGACATTCACTTACTTGACCTTTAACCAAATTAAGGTCAAGACACTTGTTGGAATTGTGTACGACACTTACATACCCGCAGGCACACACACACACACAAAAACATACACACACATGCACACATACACTCATCACACACACATACACACAGACATGCATATACACAGGCATACACACATATATACATACATACACAGACATACAAACGTACACACACCTACACACCCATACGCACACACATAAACACTCACATACACCACCCCACACCCACGCACACATCACATCACGCTGTCTGTCTCGTACGCATTTATCGTCTACTTTCCTGATATCGAAGACCATTGCAAAAGTTCGTGCCCGATTTTCATAGTTAATATAAAATGGACGCAACTTCACAGAGGCTTTTCTTTTTTTTTAAATCGATTCCGCCCCAAGAAAAGCAGTAAAGCCACTAAGACACAAAGGGTTACTGGGTGGGGAAGAGTTGGGAACAGAAACATTGCTAAGGAGCAAGAACAGAAGACGAACAAGCAGAAAGACCGTAGAATGGGATTCACATTGTTTTTAAATTTTCGCAGATTAAAGTTTGGCTGGAAAGCATGACGCCGGAAGGGAGTTCCCTAAGCAAGGCAGTAAAGCCACTAAGACACAAAGGGTTACTGGGTGTGGAAGAATTAGGAACAGAAACATTATTAATGAACGGAGAGAGGAAAGAGTAATCAGGAGGGCAGTAGATAGCGATCGAAACCGTATTCTCCTGATTTGGTTCCTTCGTATTTTCATTTGTTTCGATTTCTACAGAACAATTTAAATGTCAAAAAATTTTTGAATATGTACTGCAAATCGAAAACTATCTCACAGCCTCCCAACAAAAACCACGAATGTATCTTTCTGTATTTCTGAGAAGAGGTATTATGTACACTACTTACATTATTCGGACTATTGTCCTCATCTTTGTCACCATATTTATTACAACGTTTCGGCCCTTCAATATTTGTCTATATTTCTGAGATGAGGTATTATGTACACTATTTACATTGTTCGTACTATTGTCCTCATCTTTGTTACCATATTTATTACAATGTTTCGGCCGTTCAGTATCTGTTTATATTTCTGCGATGAGGTATTATGTACACTATTTACATTATTCGGACTATTGTCCTCATCTTTTTCACCATATTTATTACAAAGTTTCGGCCGTTCAGTATCTGTTTATATTTCTGAGATGATGTATTATGTACACTATTTACATTATTCGTACTATTGTCCTCATCTTTGTCGCCATATTTGTCGCCATATTTATTACAACGTTTCGGCCGTTGTACGCTCCGGTCTTCTTCAGGTGGTTGGAATGTCGAACTGAACCCTTTATTTCGCTCACTGGGTTTAAATTCGGCCTTGTGCCACAACTGACCACGTGGGGCGGTTGACAAATATCCTTACACGGTCTTGGCAAATATTTACTAAGACCAGAACATTCTGACAGAAGACTATCAACGAACTCGTCTTATGTGAAAAGCTCCCTTCCGACAAAGACTCGGTAATGCGAATATAAATGTTAAATAATGCCAAAATTTCCGGCCCGATTAGAAAATTTTACATACTCAAAAAAAAAAAAAAAAAAATCTATTAGCCAAATAGATAATCTCTACTGTTTTTAATAACTGTCTAACATCGTTCTACAACATTTCTGATGGCATTTTCGTAGAAACTTCCTGTTTTTTACATTATTCGGACTATTGTCCTCATCTTTGTCGCCATATTTATTACAACGTTTCGGCCGTTGTGCGCACCGGCCTTCTTCAGGTGGTTGGAATGTCGAACTGAACCCTTTTCTTTCGCTCACTGGGGTAGACTGTTCTAGTTCCACGTGCCATGTTTAATGGTTGTCAGTTATCAGTTATCTCCTGTTAAAACATGCAATGATAACATCAAAAATTGCTATATGAGCACTGGTAAAAAATGAAGGCTGAAGACATCAGGTTTATAATACCACAGACAAGAACACATGGTACAGTTGATAACAGCGTTAGTTAGATCCAGTGACAAGACCTAAAGAGTGTGAGTTCAATACCCGGTTAAGGCAGTGGAGAACTTGGATTCGGGAATTAACAGGAGATAACTGACATCCATTAAACATATCACGTGGAACTAGAAAAGTCTACCTCAGTGAGCGAAATAAAGGGTTCAGTTCGACATTCCAACCACCTGAAGAAGGCCGGAGCGTATAACGGTCGAAACGTTGTAAAAAATATGGCGACAAAGATGAGGACAATAGTCCGAATAATGTAAAAACCAGGAAGTTTCTATGAAAATGCCATCAGGAATCTTGTAGAACGATGTTAGACAGTTATTAAAAACAGTAGAGATTATCTATTTGGTTAATAGATTTTTTTTTGAGTACGTAAAAAGAATTAAAATTTTCTAATCGGGCCAGAACTTTTGCCATTATTTAACATTTATATTCGCATTACCGAGTCTTTGCCGGAAGGGAGCTTTTCGCGTAAGACGAGTTCGTTGATAGTCTTCTGTCAGAATGTTCTGGCCTTAGTAAATATTTGCCAAGACCGGGTAAGGATATTTGCCAACCGCCCCACGTGGTCAGTTGTGGCACAAGGCCGAATTTAACGTGGGGTATCCGAGCCCGTAGGCTCGGGCAGAAATTCCCCGTAGACGCCTTACAAAAACGGGGTCGGGTAGCTGTCTACCACCCCAGACAAGACTCTGCCCTTCGTCAGGTTTCCTATCTGCCTAAAGGCCGAGAGTTCGACTAGCTTAGCTGGAGATGAATCTCCAACTGATTGCCTAAGCAAGTCTCGTCAAGACCGGGTAAGAACATTTTTAGATCTGTAGTAAATATATATGCAGATAATAGCACGTCATATGGGTGCACCTAAAAATATCTGGACGATCAGTACCAGGCAGCTGATCTCTCCTGTTCTAACTCTCGTGGGAGAATGGTTAGTGTCATTCAATACCCCCAAAATAAAGCTAGGGTTCTCCACCATGTCATGTTCAGGCTGGAAAATCCACCCCATCCTCAATGGGATAATTTGGTAATAAGTAACTTTCACTGAGACAACTTTTTTCCTCCAGAACTATTACTTTGTAGAACAGGCTCCCGAGGGGATACTTTTCTGACCTCGACAGTCTGAACCTCTTCAAGTAGAGTCAACTGTTGCTTATTCTGCATATCCTCATAACATGTACTTCCTGCTTTCTCTTTTAAACAATCTCAGACTTGAGTGGCTCTTGGGCCTTGTAAAAACCATGTCTCACGTTCCAAAAATGATTCAATAATTCTGTGTGGCGCATGACATCCCACAGGTGTTTGTTAATCAAATTACAATAGATACTCATACAATTGCTTTTATTACCATGTTTCTTCAGAACATACGCGATCATAGCTCTCCACACATTCCTTTTCTAGATTATTTGTGAATTGCCATGGATTATTGGAAAATACAGTGGAGTGTTTCACAATGCCTCAACCATGTCTCTGAATTCAGAATTTAACTTTCTTTAGACTGGCTGCCAGTTAAGGCTAGAGAGTCCGGTCGACATAGTTATTACTTTTGTTTTTTTACTGCTTATCAACCTTTTTAAGGTTATTTAAAGTCGATATATTTTGGAACTGTAAAAACCTTTTTCGTAATAATAATGATTTTCTAATAAAAGAGTTACTATTTAACCCATAGCTGGGAGGAAATGAGGTGGATTTATACCTACTCAACTTTCCGTTTTCTAATTCAGAGCCATTATGCATTACATCACCATCACATCCAAGTCCTGGTATTCCAGAACGGTTACCCATCTATGTACTGACCAGGTTCAACATTGCTTACATTCGGTGATCGGATGAGAACCGGTGTTTCAACGTAACATAGCCGCAAGCCCATAGGTATTTAACAAATAGCCGGGGAAGAAACGACGGGTTCATGCCTTTCTCAAGGGCATTAGTGAAAAAGTGAACGCAACAGACTAACCTGGAATTAGAACTCGGCTCGCCTAATCCACTTTCCGTGGCAATTACTCTTACACTACCCTCCCAAACATTGATTTGTTTTTTCTTAAACCAGTTCGCCCAAGGTGATAAAGCCACTAAGACGCAGGGGATTACTGAGAGTGAAAGAAACAGAGAGGACAATAAAAGAGCAGGATTTAAATTTAATTTTGAGAATACGATGGAAGTCGTGGAGAGTCACGATCACCCAAGTCTTGAAGGGAAATGGCACATAGAAGAGGCAGGGCATCAAATCTCTACGTTTCCGGGAGTAGTGGCTGTTCGATTGAAATATGTGAAGAGTTTGCGGTCATAAACATCGGTTTGTGCAACTACTTACTTGCGTATTGACCACTATGATATAGTGTTGGGTATGGTTTGTTTTGTTTTACGGCATATCAATAACTCAATGGGTCATTTAATGTTGACAACGTTTTTTTTTTCCTGGCAATATTTTTGTTATGTCAAAAATCTATTTCTGTTAATATTTTTTACCTCAAAAGTGTATAGCTAGTAATATTATTTTTTCAAAAATGTATCGCTGGCAACATTATTTTTTAAAAAATATAGAGCTGACAACATTATTTTTTCAAGAACGTACAGAACGCGGATGTAGTTTATCGTCATATCCAGGACGCGGATGTTGTTTATTGTCTTACCCAGGACGCAGATGTAGTTTATCGTCATACCCAGGACACGGATGCAGTTTATCGTCATACCCAGGACGCGGATGTAGTTTATCATCATATGCATGACGCGGATGTAGTCTATCGTCTTACCCAGGACGCGGATGCAGTTTATCGTCATACCCAGGACGCGGATGTAGTTTATCGTCATATGCATGACGCGGATGTAGTTTATCGTCTTACCCAGGACGCAGATGTAGTTTATCGTCTAACCCAGGACGCGGATGTAGTTTATCCTCTTACCCAGGACGCGGATGTAGTTTATCGTCATACCCAGGACGACGTATGTTATAGGGCTTTACAACAATCATGTTCCCAAACATTTTTCCCGCCTTGGTGAATTCGAGATGGCCAATGTGATAAAAAAAAAAAATATATAAAATGTAGATGCTTTTTGAATTATTTGAATGTTATTTCATTTGAAGAATTATTTGAATGTTAACGACACTTTTCAAAACTATAGAAAATTCCAAAATATTCTTTGTTGGTTGGGATATTTATATCTTATCTGGGAATGTGGCCCACTTATTCCAATTTAACCTTCCATTTTGTTTCTTTTTATACAGGTTCTTTGGATGTCTCCGTGAATATTTTTTCGGGTAGGGTCTGTTGAAATTTCTTTTTAATACTGAATGGACACGGCACACAGAAGATGAAGCAGGGAATCAAAACTCTACGTTTCCGGGAGTAGAGGCAGTTTGCTTTAAATATGTGAAAAGTGGCGGTTATAAACATTGGTTTGTGTATATACTTACTTGCGTATCGACCATTATGATATAGGGCTTTACAACAACCATGTTGCTTGTCGACACCATGGGTGTTCTAAAGCAGAAGTTCCCAACCATTTTTATCCGATCACCCACTTATATATACATGGAAAGTAATTTACCCCCACACACACACACTGTAGAATAAATATTCAAAATGATACAGTGATAGATAAATTATGTTTTCACAGGCAATTTTTCCGCCTTGGTAAATTCAGAAAACCAATATATATATATATATATATATATATATATATATATATATATATATATATATATATATATATATGTATAAAAAAAAGGACAGTAAGATATATAATCCGGTGTTCTTATAGATATTTTTTTTTTTACAAAAACGTGCTCAATGTAAATTTACAGAGCATTAATATTATAAAAGGTGAAAATGGTCCATGATGCATAGTGAAACTATGGCCCTATAATTCCAAGAGAGTCTACAGCAGGGTTTCCCAACTTGGGGAATTTTACATATTGGATGAGCGATGAGCAACTAAACTGAAAATGTTGAGCCATATAGGATTTTGAGTATTAAAAATATTTCAACATATTCTACACCCCACCCCAAATTTTCTAAGAAAAAAAAAACTGGGAGGCTAAATAGGAATAAGTGGGTCACATTCCTAGATTAGATATAAATATCCCCACAAACAACGAGTATTTTCGTATTTTCTATACTTTTGAGCTCATTAATATTGAAATAGTTCTTCAGACTTTCCGGATATAAATCAGATAACGGAACCTTACCTGTAAAATTAAAATTGAACTCAGGATAATCTTGATTTAATATATATATATATATATATATATATATATATATGTATGTATGTATGTGTGTGTGTGTGTGTGTGTGTGCATTTTCACATAGTAAAATTTTTCATCATTCACACATATACTAAATATTCAACAGCATACCCAAAAAATTGGTAAAAGTTTGTTACTGGTTCATAAACTGACATTATGGTGTAGTAAAAAAAATACCAAGGGCGGCAAAAATAACATTGAATTCTGCGGAAGCAGCAGCAGCCGCTTCCGCAGAATTCAAAGTTATTTTTGCCGCCCTTGGTATTTTTAAATCTAAAAATTAAACAATTTATTCTCATATTTATCAAATTAAAATAATATACACAACGAGCAACTTATAAAAATTCATCCAATATGTTGTTTGTTGTTGTTTTTGGTCTTCCCTAATTTGATTTATATCTCTCCAAAATGTTATTTCACCCGAGGAATTATTCGAATGTTAATGACCCTTCTCAAAACAATATAGAATGTCAAAATACTCGTTGTTTGCGGGGATATTTATCTCTTATCTAGGAATGTGACGCAGTTATTTCAATTTAGCATTCCATTTTGTTTTTTTATACAGGTTGTTTGCATATCTTTGAATATTTTCAGGTAGCGTATGTTGAAATTTCTTTTTAATACTCAAAATCCACCAAAATTTCTGATTGTCTAACATTTTTTGTTCAATTGCTCATCAACCTCCCAAGAGTTGAAATCGCCCACTGGTGGTCGATATCACCCAGTTTTGGACTGCACAACTTTACTGAAAGATAGTGTAAAGTTTATAGAAAGCCAGGAAAAATGCTTTGATAGCAGAATAAGGATGCTATGAATTTATTTGATTACAAGATTTTGTGAAAATATTTAGCATTAGTCTAATTTAGAAAACAATTTAACTGAAAGGTAGTTCAGTTCATAGAAAGCTAGGAAGGATATTTTAAAACATTGAAGAATTATTTGAATGTTAATGACCCTTCTCAAACTTATAAAAAATAACCAAATATTCGTTGTTTGTTGGGATATTTATATCTTATCTAGGAATGTGACCCACTTATTCCCATTTAGCATCCTGAGTTTTTTTTTAAATACAGGATCTTTGCAAATCACCTTTGAATGTTTTTTTTTGGGGGGTAGCATATCTTGAAATACATTTTTAACACTCAAAATCTTATATCGCCAAGTAAAATTTCCAGTCGCCCACCCAGTTGAACATCGGCCAGGCAACAATTGTCAGTGGAGGGCGATATGGCCCAGGTTGAGAAACCCTATTATAAAGAAATATATCTAAATCTCTCACTTATTTCCTTAAGAACAAGTAAAGGATTTATAACGAATATAAAAACAATTATGTAAACTAACGAGAACAATTAAACTAAATAGAAAACATGTAAAAAGAAGAACGTTGAGCTGTCAATATTATCCTCTCCTATAAAACGTGTCCATTCAGGACGTCGACAACTTCGTATCCATATTTGCTTTTTTTTTTAATATCAGATACTACCCTTTGATCCCAGACATATGGCAAGGAAGTGAAGAAAAGCGTAACAAGTAGCACTGGCTGCTCGGTCAATGAATGACAAATGTTTCATTATAAGGAAACGATTAATATTAACATCAGAGATGAGGAGAACAGATACTACACTTTGATCCCAGACCGATTGCCTGGGAATGAAGAAAACATTAAAGAGTAGCACTGGTCAATGGATGCTGAATATTTCATTATAAGGAAACGATTAATATTACCATTAGAGATGAGGAGAACAGATACTACACTTTGATTCCAGCCTGATGGCCAGGGAGTGAAGAAAAGCGTAAAGAGTAGCACTGGCTGCTCAGTCAAGGAATGCCGAATGTTTCATTATAAGGAAACGGCTAATATTACCATTACCATTAGAGATGAGGAGAACAGATACTACACTTTGATCCCAGTCCGATGGTCAGGGAGTGAAGAAAAGCGTAAAGAGTAGCATTGGCTGCTTGGTCAATGGATGCCGAATGTTTCATTATAAGGAAACGGTTAATATTACCATTAGACATGAGGAGAACAGATACTACACTTTGATCCCAGACCGCTGACCAAGGTGTGAAGAAAAGCGTAGCCAGTAGCACTGGCTGCTCGGTCAATGGATGCCGAATGTCTACTTATAAGGAAACGTTTAATATTACAATTTCCATGTAATGCTATTGATCTATTTGAAAGAGAAATGATAATGTTTTAGTAAATGCGATGCTAAACACAACATTAGACGAGGAATGATATTTCGTTCCCAATGAGAAGCATTCGGCAGAAATGACATATACTCATTTTTATTTGTTTTCCATGAGAAAACGTATAGCCTTTTCAATGGTTTTGAAAATTTCAAGCGCCCCAAATATTCCTCGTTCATTTATTAATGAAGGATATATAAAGCGGAATAAAAATATTGTTGTTTCTTAAATTTTTTTTAATCAATTCACCCCACGCAAGGCGACAATGCCACTAAACGGCATGGGACTGCTGGGTGTGAATGAAAATGAAAAGAACTGGAAAACCTATCCTAAATAGGAAACAAGGCATAAATATCTGATCCTGGTCAAATTATTGGGGGGAGTGTGAACAGGACGATAAGCGAATGTATCTACTCTTATTAACGTAA